AATCCATTTCTTAGACTGTCGCGAGTTTGTGTACGTGTGGCGAATCATGCGTTGATGCATACTGCAAAGAATCGTCAAAATAAAACGGGAAAAGTTTATTAATTCGACTAATACTGCAGCATGGTTTCAGCATTTTACCCTTGTACGCTCTCCTTCTTTATCTGCTCTTGATAATATATATATAAAATGCTGTCATACCGGCTCCTTCTTAAATGCAATCCTGCTTTGTTTAAATATTATACATAATATAGATAATAAATAATTTGGGAAAGCACTATTTTTTTTTTGCAAATGTGTGTTACTGTTACGCTTCTGCTGAAATGCATAGGTACATTCACTATAGAGTAATAGTATATATATAGTAACATTGATTTTTGGCTATGACACACAGGCGATACGTGAATACCAGCAAGGTCCGAAGACCAACGAGCCTCTGCGCTTTCCTCCTTACGGAGTGCGGCAATCCTCCTCTACCCCCACCTCTCAGGGGAAACCATACCCACCGTCCTACCAGCCGACATACCAGCCGACGCAGCAACCACAATACCAGCCGACACAGCAGTCGCAGCCTTATGCGCTAAACAAGGCAAAGTCAACGTCAAAAGAAGACACAGTGTAGTGACCGCCATGCTGTATTAGTTGTACTGCGTCCGTCCGTTCCTCAACTGGTACGATTCACAAGTGCTTAGAAACAGTAGCCACACTACTATCAAGGCAGTGGCGGGCTATTTGGTGAAATATGGCCGTCGCTGTAGCAAGAGCGGTCGAACCTCGGGCAATAAACGAACAATCGGTTTCTAGTTTTTGTAGAAGTTTCATTGTTGACGATCAACACTTGTTATGATGAATGTGTGTTATTAATCACTGGCGTGAAGAGTAATATCAACGTGCACAGTTACAATATTCGATAGCATGAGGCAAGTTATGGATTTGTTTTAAAAAATCTTTGAATTGATTTACCTTTTACCTGAGTAAGAATCTCATATTGATGTAATGTGTATATAAGCTACGAGTGTACTGCCATCTGGTGGGCTACTGTTTTACGATCGTATTTTAATTATTCACTTATGTTTGTACAACAGATTTATGTGGTTTATAATGATTGTATCATGATGTAAACATACTATAGTGACTTTTTGATACATATTTCCTTAATTAAATACATGTACCATCAAACCCCGTCAAATTTTGTATATATAGCATTTCATTTTTAGCTCATCTGACATAGTCAGATGCAGCTTGTAGAATCGCATGAGCGTGCGTGCGTCCGTCCGTCCGTCCGTGCGTCAACAGTTGGGCACAAATCTTAACCGCTCGACGTACGGTCACGATATTCGGGACGACGGGGGGGATGGACAAAACGAGTTGGAATGTCGAAGCTGGGGGTCAAAGGTCAACGGTCAAGAGGTGTAAAAGATCCTGGAGCGCCGGCGTAGTGGTGGTGTGGGGTGGAGTGGGGGGAGGGGTGGGGGCGAGGGCAGGTTGTGAAAGTTGGGCTGCTAATTAGCAAAAGCAGTTCAGGTTCCTTTGTTCAACAGTCAACAAATCCATGTTTACCCTCCTCTGAGCGGTCAAAGGTTATCAGACACTTACTCTGCGCACATAGTCTAGTGAAAGGCACTATTTTCATCGGTCTTTCAACTAAAGCCATTAAAAAATTGTATACGGATACCGCCATATTCTCTCATGTT